GGGGGATCAAAGATTCATAGGGGGGGTGAAGGGTTTATAGGGGGATCAAAGGTTCATAGAGGGGGGGGTCATAGGTTCAAAGGGGGGAATAAAGGTTCATAGGGGGATCATGGGTTCATAGCGGGGGTGGGGGGTGATGGGTTTATAGAGGGACCATAGGTGCATGGGAGGGAGGGTCATAAGTTCATAGGGGGGGGGGGTCATAGGTTCAAAGAGGGGAACAACAAAGGTTCATAGGAAGTTCATACGGGGACCATAGGTTTATAGAGGGTCATAGGGGCATCGTAGGTTCATAGAGGGACAATAGATACATACGTTAAAGGGGGGACCACAGGTTAATAGGGGGGCCAGAGGGGATCATAGGTTCATGGGGGACAATAGGTTCATAGGGAGGTCATAGGGGGATCATAGGTTCATAGGGAGGTCACAGGGGCATCATAAATTCATAGGTGGAACGATATATAAGTTCAAGGGGGACCACAGGTTAATAGGGGGGCCAGAGAAGATCATAGGTTAATGGGGGACAATAAGTTCATAGGGAGGTCATAGGGGGACATAGGTTCATTGAGAGGCCATAGGGGACTCATAGGGAGGTCATAGGGGGACATAGGTTCACGGGGGACAATAGGTTCATTGAGAGGCCATAGGGGTTTCATAGAGAGGTCATGGGGGTCATAGGTTCATAGGGAGGTCATAGGGAGACATAGGTTCATGGGGGACAATAGGTTCATTGAGGGGTCATAGAGGAGTCATATGGAGGTCATAGGGGGACATAGGTTCATAGGGGGACATAGGTTCATTGAGGGGCCATAGGTTTATGGGGGACAATAGGTTCATTGAGGGGCCATAGGGGATTCATATGGAGGTCATAGGGGGACATAGGTTCATAGGGAGGTCATAGGGGGACATAGGTTCATGGGGAACAATAGGTTCATTGAGAGGTCATAGGGGATTCATATGGAGGTCATGGGGGACATAGGTTCATGGGGGACAATAGGTTCATTGAGGGGTCATAGGGGATTCATATGGAGGTCATAGGGGGACATAGGTCCATGGAGGGGTCATAGGGGATTCATATGGAGGTCATAGGGGGAAATAGGTTCATTGAGAGGCCATAGAGGATTCATATGGAGGTCATAGGGGGACATAGGTTCATGGAGGGGTCATGGAGGGGTCATAGGGGATTCATATGGAGGTCATAGGGGGATGTAGGTTCATGGAGGGGTCATAGGGGATTCATATGGAGGTCATAGGTTCATGGGGGGGACAATAGGTTCATTGAGAGGCCATAGAGGATTTATATGGAGGTCATAGGGGGACATAGGTTCATGGAGGGGTCATAGGGGATTCATATGGAGGTCATAGGGGGACATAGGTTCATGGAGGGGTCATAGGGGATTCATATGGAGGTCATAGGGGGACATAGGTTCATGGAGGGGTCATAGGGGATTCATATGGAGGTCATAGGGGGGCATAGGTTCATGGAGGGGTCATAGGGGATTCATATGGAGGTCATAGGGGGGGCATAAGTTCATGGAGGGGTCATAGGGGATTCATATGGAGGTCATAGGGGGACATAGGTTCATGGAGGGGTCATAGGGGATTCATATGGAGGTCATAGGGGGACATAGGTTCATGGAGGGGTCATGGAGGGGTCATAGGGGATTCATATGGAGGTCATAAGTTCATGGAGGGGTCATAGGGGATTCATATGGAGGTCATAGGGGGACATAGGTTCATTGAGGGGTCATAGGGGATTCATATGGAGGTCATAAGTTCATGGAGGGGTCATAGGGGATTCATATGGAGGTCATAGGGGGACATAGGTTCATGGAGGGGTCATAGGGGATTCATATGGAGGTCATAGGGGGGGACATAGGTTCATGGAGGGGTCATAGGGGATTCATATGGAGGTCATAGGGGGACATAGGTTCATGGAGGGGTCATAGGGGATTCATATGGAGGTCATAGGGGGACATAGGTTCATGGAGGGGTCATAGGGGATTCATATGGAGGTCATTAGGGGGACATAGGTTCATGGAGGGGTCATAGGGGATTCATATGGAGGTCATAGGGGGGCATAGGTTCATGGGGGGGTCATAGGGGATTCATATGGAGGTCATAGGGGGGACATAGGTTCATGGGGGGGTCATAGGGGATTCATATGGAGGTCATAGGGGGACATAGGTTCATGGGGGGGTCATAGGGGATTCATATGGAGGTCATAGGGGGACATAGGTTCATGGAGGGGTCATAGGGGATTCATATGGAGGTCATAGGGGGGCATACGTTCATGGAGGGGTCATAGGGGATTCATATGGAGGTCATAGGGGGACATAGGTTCATGGAGGGGTCATAGGGGATTCATATGGAGGTCATAGGGGGACATAGGTTCATGGGGGGGTCATAGGTTCATGGGGGGGTCATAGGGGGACATAGGTTCATGGAGGGGTCATAGGGGATTCATATGGAGGTCATAGGGGGACATAGGTTCATGGGGGGGGTCATAGGGGGGGACATAGGTTCATGGGAGGGTCATAGGGGGACATAGGTTCATGGGGGGGTCATAGGGGATTCATATGGAGGTCATAGGGGGACATAGGTTCATGGAGGGGTCATAGGGGATTCATATGGAGGTCATAGGGGGACATAGGTTCATGGAGGGGTCATAGGGGATTCATATGGAGGTCATAGGGGGACATAGGTTCATGGAGGGGTCATAGGGGATTCATATGGAGGTCATAGGGGGACATAGGTTCATGGGGGGGTCATAGGGGGACATAGGTTCATGGAGGGGTCATAGGGGATTCATATGGAGGTCATAGGGGGACATAGGTTCCCCTCCTGTCTGTGTGTTTTCTCCTGGTACTGTAAGACTAGGTTCACACCTAAGTGTTTCAGGAACGCATGTAAAATCAGAAACGCACTGCGATTTAGCAGACAGAGGTGGTGCCGTGCGTTTTCGGGAAAAGAGCCAAGGACTTCCTTGCCTTGGTTTCTCACATGTAGGGCAGCGCATTGCAAAAACACAAAGGCTATGCTCCTACTACTGCGTGCCGGGAACGTGTGCAGGATCCAGGACCCGGTGCTTTCCCAACACGCACAGAAACACGCCGCCATTTGCAGACGTGCAGAGCTGCCATTCATTGTTAATGGCACCCCTTTGCATCTGTAAAGGAACATGTTCTCGCTTGCACCAACCTGCATGGTGCGGCGTTCCGTGAGGCACATTTTTGGAGTCAGGTTCTTCTTTTCTGTGTTTCTCGTTCACTGAAATCAATGAGTATCTGTTCTTGGCTGCACTCGTATGGTGTGAACGGAGCCAAATGGGCTGCCCAGCGGGAATGCACTGAAAATGCGCAGAAACACGCGCTCAGTCCCCCCTGTAGTTATGTACCAAGCCTTCGCTTACATGCGTGTGAAGAACAACAGAGGACCGGGCCTGAATGGGTCCATATTCTCTACATGTTCATCGGTTCCACACGGCGGTCTACAATCAGCTACATTATGTAGAGGAGTAGCTCTTGTCCTATGATGGAGTACCCCCCCCCCCCGCGGGGTACCCCCCACCCCTCAAATTGCCTCTCTTACCAGTGAGAATATTACCGGATTACCGACATCTCTATCCAGCTCACAGCAGGAAAAACTGGCTGCAGATTCATGAAAGGAAAATCACACACGGCTGCCAAATACAACGAGCACTTCACGTTCTATATATATTGATGGGGCAATCATCCCCAATGAAGGTCTGTGGGAGTATGGGGGGGGGACACCAGCAGGGACCAGAGTATGGCGTATGGTGGGGACACCAGCAGGGACCCGAGTATGGCGTATGGTGGGGACACCAGCAGGGACCCGAGTATGGCGTATGGTGGGGACACCAGCAGGGACCCGAGTATGGCGTATGGTGGGGACACCAGCAGGGACCCGAGTATGGCGTATGGTGGGGACACCAGCAGGGACCCGAGTATGGCGTATGGTGGGGACACCAGCAGGGACCCGAGTATGGCGTATGGTAGGAGTATGGTAGGAGTATGGTGGGGACACCAGCAGGGACCCGAGTATGGCGTTATGGTGGGGACACCAGCAGGGACCCGAGTATGGCGTATGGTGGGGACACCAGCAGGGACCCGAGTATGGCGTATGGTGGGGACACCAGCAGGGACCAGAGTATGGCGTATGGTGGGGACACCAGCAGGGACCCGAGTATGGCGTATGGTGGGGACACCAGCAGGGACCCAAGTATGGCGTATGGTGGGGACACCAGCAGGGACCAGAGTATGGCGTATGGTGGGGGACACCAGCAGGGACCCGGGTATGGCGTATGGTGGGGACACCAGCAGGGACCCGAGTATGGCGTATGGTGGGGACACCAGCAGGGACCCGAGTATGGCGTATGGTGGGGACACCAGCAGGGACCTGAGTATGGCATATGGTAGGAGTATGGTGGGGACACCAGGGACAGGGACGTATGGTAGGAGTATGGTGGGGGACACCAGCAGGGACGTATGGTAGGAGTATGGTGGGGGGACACCAGCAGGGACGTATGGTAGGAGTATGGTGGGGACACCAGCAGGGACCCGAGTATGACATGTGGTAGGAGTATGGTGGGGACATCAGTAAATAAACAAAGTATCATAGATAGGTTGCAATTGTTTTTGTTGGAATGATCCGTGTTCTTGTAGTTAATAGCGCCCCATAGATAATGTTATAGATTACGGCTCCAACCAATATTGCATCATTGGAGTCCCCAGCAACCCCAGACACGGGAGTCCGACATACAACTCACATGGATACACAGAAATATACACGGGGAACAACAGAGATCCGACTGAACACGGCAAATCACATGATAACCGCCAGATATAGAAGATCAATGTAACAAATATATATATCAATATGTGAACACGGAGAACCCTCATCTACAGAACCCCCCCAGCAATGTGACACCCGAGCATTCTGTGAACACGAGCGCATTCTAAGACATTCACTATATCCGCTCTCCCCGGACCCCGCATTCCCTATATCCGCTCTCCCCGGACCCCGCATTCCCTATATCCGGTCTCCCCCCGGACCCCGCATTCACTATATCCGCTCTCCCCGGACCCCGCATTCACTACATCCGCTCTCCCCGGACCCACCCCGCATTCACTATACCCGCTCTCCCCGGACCCCGCATTCCCTATATCCGCTCTCCCTCTCCCTGGACCCCGCATTCACTATATCCTCCCCCCCCCGGACCCCGCATTCACTATATCCGCTCACCCCGGACCCCGCATTCACTATATCCGCTCTCCCCGGACCCCGCATTCACTATATCCTCCCCCCCCGGACCCCGCATTCACTATATCCGCTCACCCCGGACCCCGCATTCACTATATCCGCTCACCCCGGACCCCGCATTCACTATATCCGCTCTCCCCGGACCCCGCATTCACTATATCCGCTCTCCCCGGACCTCGCATTCACTATATCCGCTCTCCCCGGACCCCGCATTCACTGTATCCGCTCTCCCCGGACCCCGCATTCCCTAGATCCGCACTCCCCGGACCCCGCATTCACTATATCCTCCCCCCCCGGACCCCGCATTCACTATATCCGCTCACCCGGACCCCGCATTCACTATATCCTCCCCCCCGGACCCCGCATTCACTATATCCTCTCTCCCCGGACCCCGCATTCACTATATCCTCTCTCCCCGGACCCCGCATTCACTATATCCGCTTTCCCCGGACCCCGCATTCACTATATCCGCTCTCCCCGGACCCCGCATTCACTATATCCGCTCTCCCCGGACCCCGCATTCACTATATCCGCTCTCCCCGGACCCCGCATTCTCTATATCCTCTCTCCCCGGACCCCGCATTCACTATATCCGCTCTCCCCGGACCCCGCATTCACTATATCCGCTCTCCCCGGACCCCGCATTCACTATATCCGCTCTCCTCCTGACCCCGCATTCACTATATCTGCTCTCCCCGGACCCCGCATTCACTATATCCGCTCTCCCCGGACCCCGCATTCACTATATCCGCTCTCCCGGACCCCGCATTCACTATATCCGCTCTCCTCCTGACCCCGCATTCACTATATCCGCTCTCCCGGACCCAGCATTCACTATATCCGCTCTCCCCGGACCCCGCATTCACTATATCCGCTCTCCCCGGACCCCCCGCATTCACTATATCCCCTCCCCCACAGTACACAGAACATGGAAATGCAATTATTTTAGTAAATATGAACTGCTAAATCCCTTTTCCCATCATCAGTATATCGCAGTCTTGTGACTTCTATCAGTGCCCAGCAGAGCACTTAGAAAACTCCTCCTAGAAGCTTTAACTTCTGCTCTAGGAGGATGCAGAACCCCTGACCTTTGCCCTGACAGTGCTGATTGGCCCTGTGCTGATCACATGCACTCTCCCAAGAAAAAAAAAACACTCTAAAAATACACCAAACTGAGCATGTGCAGAGTGCCTCCTAGAGCTCTGTTCTATCAGCAGATGGATTGGGGACAGTAGAAGAGGAGGATCAGAGAAGACGGGATCAAACAGCCTTTTTACACAATGATTAACCCCTTAGGTTCCACACTGAGTACAACAAGCACGCTTTGCTGCACCTACAGACGGATTGTACTGCGGGGGGTTCAGGAACACTTTAATGTCCCTACAATTCGGTGAGATTGTTCCCTTGTCCGGGATTCAGTTTATTAGTCACATGACTCACGCCAATGACATTAAGCTCTGTGCCTAGGCTCATGTTCCGCACCAGGGGAACGAGCCTCCAGATTTACAAGTGTACCCGCCCCCCTCCCCGTCAGTTTAGGCTCCGCCCTCTGCCTCCCGCTGGGGAGATTTCACCTTCACAGACGGAACAGGAAATGGGAGGAAATCTCAACAAAGCGAGAGGAATTCCCCGACCAGATAGTTGTCACCGGGCACAGTGTCCCCGTCGGAAGTTTTCTACTCACTTCCTGTCGTGGTCACCAGTAAAAACAGAAAGAGAAAGAAAGAGAGCAGAGCTGGACGACATGGCGGGGGAACCCTTCCTACACCAACCTAACCCACCTGATACTGACCTTGTTCCTCGCTCCGCTTCCTCCATACTGTGCCCCCCGGCCCCCCCCCAGTGCCTGTTCTGTAGGCCGCTCCAGCCTGCAGTGTCACTGATGTCAAAAAGGATGGCGAAGCCCCGCCCAGAAGAAGAAGCGGTGAGCGCTCAACGCCGGCTGCAGCGAGGGGGGGGGGTATTCCAGACAAATCCTCCACCCCCCTGGGTCTAATGAGCAATTAATCCACTGCAAGGAGATGGGGGGCGCTTCAAGGGGGGGGGGCAAAGGGGGAGCACTGAAAAGGGGGGGGGGTGCTGCAAAAAAGGGGACACTGCAAGGGGGGGTGCTGCAAAAAAGGGACACTGCAAGGGGGGGTGCTGCTGCAAAGGGTGCTGCAAAGAGAGGGGCATTACAGGGGGCACGGCAATGGGGGACACTGCAGGGGGGGTGCTGCAAAGGAGGGGCGCATTGTAAGGAGGAGTGCTGCAAAGGAGAGGCGCACTGCAGGAGGGGTGCTGCAAAGGAGGGGCGCTCTGCAGGAGGGGTGCTGCAAAGGAGGGGCGCACTGCAGGTGGGGTGCTGCAAAGGCAGAGTGCACTGCAGGAGGGGTGCTGCAAAGGAGGAGCGCACTGCAGGAGGGGTGCTGCAAAGGAGGGGCGCACTGCAGGAGGGGTGCTGCAAAGGAGGGGCGCTCTGCAGGATGGGGTGCTGCAAAGAGGGGGCACTGCAGCACTGCAGGAGGGGTGCTGCAAAGGAGGGGCGCTTTGCAGGAGGGGTGCTGCAAAGGAGGGCGCTCTGCAGGAGGGGTGCTGCAAAGGAGGGGCGCACTGCAGGAGGGGTGCTGCAAAGGAGGGGCGCACTGCAGGAGGGGTGCTGCAAAGGAGGGGCGCACTGCAGGAGGGGTGCTGCAAAGGAGGGGCGCGCTTTGCAGGAGGGGTGCTGCAAAGGAGGGGCGCTCTGCAGGAGGGGTGCTGCAAAGGAGGGGCGCACTGCAGGAGGAGGTGCTGCAAAGGAGGGGCGCACTGCAGGAGGGGTGCTGCAAAGGAGGGGCACACTGCAAGGGTTTTTTTTTTTTTAAAACACGTGAAGCGCCCCCCACACAAGTCCGGATTCCCTCCTGGGGCCCAGCTGTGTATCTTCCCCCGATGGGCATCCATGTGTGCATTGGGAGAGTCTGCTGATCATGTTTCCACTTCTTTTCCTGCCTAGTAACAAGCTTCCTATTGGCTACAGACAAATCCCCCCCAAACAGAAAATAAAAAAAAAAATTGGTCAAACCGAAATGTGCACAAAACCCCCCAAAGAATGACCGGAGAAGATCGGGGGACGGAGAAGATCGGGGGACGGAGAAGATCGGGGGACGGAGAAGAGCGGCGGACGGAGAAGGCGGACGGAGAAGATCGGCGGGACGGAGAAGATCGGGGACGGAGAAGATCGGGGCGGACGGAGAAGAGCGGCGGACGGAGAAGAGCGGCGGACGGAGAAGATCGGGGGACGGAGAAGAGGAGAAGGCGGGGACGGAGAAGATCGGGGGACGGAGAAGATCGGGGGACGGAGAAGGGGGACGGAAAGATCGGGGGACGGAGAAGATCGGGGGACGGAGAAGATCGGGGGACGGAGAAGATCGGGGGACGGAGAAGATCGGGCGGACGGAGAAGAAGATCGGGGGACGGATCTGTGTAAATGGGCGCCTGAAACTGATGGAAGAGTCACGACGCAACGCCAGGAGTATCGGCCCACGGGGGATCGGCGGACGGAGGGAGCGGGGGACGGAGAAGAGCGGCCCGGAGTATTACGGCAGACACATCCTATACATATGTGACCTGTCTGCGGACTGACACGGGGGACGGAGAATACGGAGAACTCCATGCGACGGAGTGATACGGCGCACATAGAAGACGGCGCACGGAAAGATCGGCGGACGGTAGAAGATTGCCATACCCCTGTGTAGATAGCGATACCCCATGTAGACACGCCATACCCCATGTAGACAGCCATACCCCATGTAGATAGCGATACCCCAGTGTAGACAGCCATACCCCATGTAGACAGCCATACCCCATGTAGATAGCGACACAGTACCCCATGTAGACAGCCATACCCCATGTAGATAGTGATACCCCATGTAGACAGCGATACCCCATGTAGATAGTGATACCCCATGTAGACAGCCATACCCCATGTAGATAGCCATACCCCATGTAGACAGCCGTACCCCATGTAGACAGCCATACCCCCATGTAGACAGCCATACCCCATGTAGACAGCCATACCCCATGTAGATAGCCATACCCCATGTAGATAGCCGTACCCCATGTAGACAGCCGTACCCCATGTAGACAGCCGTACCCCATGTAGACAGCCGTACCCCATGTAGATAGTGATACCCCATGTAGACAGCCGTACCCCATGTAGACAGCTGTACCCCATGTAGATAGCGATACCCCATGTAGACAGCCATACCCCATGTAGACAGCCGTACCCCATGTAGATAGTAATACCCCATGTAGACAGCCGTACCCCATGTAGATAGTAATACCCCATGTAGACAGCCATACCCCATGTAGATAGCGATACCCCATGTAGACAGCCATACCCCATGTAGACAGCCATACCCCATGTAGACAGCCATACCCCATGTAGATAGCGATACCCCATGTAGACAGCCATACCCCATGTAGACAGCCATACCCCATGTAGATAGTGATACCCCATGTAGACAGCGATACCCCATGTAGATAGTGATACCCCCATGTAGACAGCCATACCCCATGTAGATAGCCATACCCCATGTAGACAGCCATACCCCATGTAGACAGCCATACCCCATGTAGACAGCCATACCCCATGTAGATAGCCGTACCCCATGTAGATAGCCGTACCCATGTAGATAGCCGTACCCCATGTAGACAGCCGTACCCCATGTAGACAGCCGTACCCCATGTAGACAGCCGTACCCCATGTAGACCTAGTGATACCCCATGTAGACAGCCGTACCCCATGTAGACAGCTGTACCCCATGTAGATAGTGATACCCCATGTAGACAGCCATACCCCATGTAGACAGCCGTACCCCATGTAGATAGTAATACCCCATGTAGACAGCCGTACCCCCATGTAGATAGTATACCCCATGTAGACAGCCGTACCCCATGTAGACAGCCATACCCCATGTAGACAGTCATACCCCATGTAGATAGTGATACCCCATGTAGACAGCCATACATCATGTAGATAGTGATACCCCATGTAGACAGTCATACCTCATGCAGACATTCATCCTCCATGGAGTCAGCGGTGGGAGTCGGTGATCTCACCTCAGCCATGTCCGGTGTGTCGGTGTGCCGGAGGGGGGAGGGGCGGATGTTCCCGGTGCGGATACTTTGTATCGGGAGATGAGATGATGAGGAGGAGACTACGTCCGGAGCCCATACATGCCTCCTCACACCCG